CAAGTTGTTTTAATAAAAGTATTAAGACTTTATTAGCAAAGAAGTATAAAAACTTCTTGTGAACATCTTTTTTGTGTATGGACAGAGGATCAGCGAAAAGAGTTTTTTTTTTTATTATATTTTACAGTTAATAATATATTCTTAAAGTATTTAATATATAAAATTTTATAGATTACTTATATCTCTTTTTGAGAATAAAATTTATAACTCTTCATTTTAATAGAAACAAAAGTTAGAAAATGCTATAAATCTGTAATTTGAATAATAGAGAACAATTGTAAATAGTTTTTTTATAATTATTAATTAAAAATTTTAATGTTTCCTAGTAAAGAATATTTGTTTTTTGTTCTTTTATTCTCCTTTAGGGATTTATCTTTATTTATAATATAACACAATTTTCAATAATTCATTTTAAAAATCAAAATATATTAGATACAACAGGAAGTGATTATATGATATCAATAGTGATGCTACAAAACAAGAACCTCTTTTCAAGAATAGAATTTCTAATCAATTTAATAAGCCCTTTAAATGATAGATATCAAAGAATCTACAGAAGAACAATAGAAAATTTTTTGAGAAAATATAAATCACAAATTCAAGACAAAAATGATTTTACTATTAGAAAAAAGCTGAATGAGTTGATAAAAAAACAATGGATAAATCAAATATGGAAAAGTTTCAAAAATCAAATAATCTCAGCAACTTTTTTCAAATTGAAAATCAAGAAGAAAAGATCAAATCAGAAAAAAAACATCAACCAAGACCTGAATCCATTAAATATAAAAAAGCAATCAAACTTAACATATTGTTGAAAAAAGCAAAGATGACCAAAGCACAAAAAAACATACAGTACCTCAGTATGGCAATACAAAAACATAACAAAAAACACTATCCAGGATTTTAGATTGAAAACCTATACTTGCAATACAGTATAGAAAATATGTTATGGCCAGAAATTCAGGATATAATTGGAACGCTCAAAACAGTTTGCCAACCCGACCCTCATGTTCTATAGTAATTTCTCACATAAATTGTTTTTTCATTACTGTATATTCCAGTAATTGCTGACATAAAATATCGACCTCTTTCTTAACCCGGCGATTGATCTCATCCTCACATGCGAAGCAAGGACACTTATTGGGTTTGGAATTCTTGGTTAATCGTCTCTACGTTATATTCACGTGATAAATTTTCAAGGGTTCTATAGTTTTAATTTGTTTTTTTACGCTTCCCATTTAATCCTTTTTCATATACAGTACCTCTAATATATGGTGTAAATAATTCTCAATTCGATCACACTTTTCAGAAATCTCTGAGGTAATGGGAGATCTAGAGCGATATAAAAGCCTATAGTACGCTCTATTGACCAGACTTTTTGGAAGCTTTGTTATAAATCTGAATGAAATATCAATTATTAGTTTGCACGTGCCAGCTTCTCACAAGTTCAAAGTCAGAAAAAAAAATATAGAATTGAGAATAATATAGAAATTAGAAATTAGATAAAATGCTTATTGCATCAGTTAACAATATATTAGCTTTTCTAATTTGCTCCAAGAAATCGATGCCTTCTGTTTGGGTTGCTTTATCCAAGGAATTAATTTGTATCCCTTTGTCTATAAAATCAATATTCTCTGTCTGTATTCCGGTATCCGTAATATAAACAAAAGCCTTCCGATTTTTTGCCCGTTCATAAACATTTAACTTATTACGCAAATATTTCTTAATTCGATCGCTTTTTTCTGTAATTTCTTCTGGAAAAACATGATCACGCTTTACAGTATATTAAGTAATTGATTGGAAGCTCTTTTGACTAGACTTGATGGCATTTTATCTATAATAGGCTTATAATCAGGATGAAAAGTGGGTATTTGTGCGTATATATCAATAATTTCTTCTATATCCGCCATTTTAGTAACGAATTTATCTTAACTTCGTAATGTTTAACTGTTTTATCAAAATAAAATTATGCACTAATGAAATTAATACTTGATTTTTCCGATGCATATGAAACTTTATTAATTTCAAGAATATAAGATTACAGATGCAGTAGTATTATATGCTATAATGATTTTCTTCCCTATTACAAAATGGAAAATTTGTTCTAACATTCAACTATACTACTCTTTTTGGGATTTTTTTAAGGGTAGGTGTCGTCTCCGGAAGATTGCCAATAGTAAATAAATCATTCTGCAATCATTATAAATGATTAAAGTTAATAAGAGAAAATTTCAACTAGCGAATTGATAATACAAATACCTTTAAACATAATACATCTTTTAAAGCCACAAGACTTTCTGGAATGCTTCCCCATGTCGTTCCAATTCGATATTGACACGTCATGAACACGAAATAATATTCAATGTCAGCATCGTAGTACATGGCATATATTTTCCCATTAAATATAAAGAATGGGTATCAGCCAATTTTGTACTAGAGTGTAAGACATTTGAAAATTTTCACCGTTGCCTCATATAGTACCTCCATGAGTTATTCCGTGTAAAACAATATCCTTTACTCCTTTAATGGATTCCTTTGTAAATTTCAAACTCTTCAGGAGACGATCTAGTTGATCCTTCATTTCACGAAAAAGCTTTTGTTTATAGGAAATTGGTTTCGAGTTTCGAGGATCTTCATCAGTGTACGTTCTGAACCAAAATATTCAATATAAGAGAATATCAATCTTACGCCCAGATAGTTTTCTTTCCAATTCTTCTCTTGATAAGTTCTTACGCTCAATAGATGCCAATGACATCTCTTCACCTCTGAGGTGACAGAAAAAGTAATTTGAGACTCAAAGCTAAGAAATCAACTATCACATTGAATTCATTAGGAAATTTCATATTAACCGATGAACTTGAATTTCTTCACATGTCAAAAAGCAATCATCAATCAACGAAGTCAAGATATGGCAATTCAGCCAACCTTCAGAGTTTTTATCCAAGAGCGGATTTCGTGGAGCTTCAAAAAACAATGATTTAGATAATAAGGCGAATCATTGTAAGATGAGTTTAACATAAACAATGCAAAAATTCTGTTATATAAACGAGAACCAAATAGGACTCACAATTTGTCAGCAAAACGATGAACCCAATGTATTTCATAGTGTTTGCTAAATGAATATGTTTCATCTGATGGAACAAATGGAAGTTGAAGTTTTCTACGGAATCCATTGCGAGTATTAGACTGAAATCAGAAATAGGGAAAATATGTTAGCAAAATTAATAATAATATAAAGACAATCTTTAAAACATACATTATCGATTAATTCATCAATATATTTTGTAGCATCATTAGTGACAGGATCCCATGTATAATCGCGTTTGATTTTCAATCTACCCATTAAAGGTTTGTTTGTTGTGTCGATTATGTTTGAGCAGATTGGTTCACTATAATAAAAAACGGTGAAATTAGTCAGTTAATAATATAATATAGGAATATAAATTAGCTTTAATAGACGTTTTTACTTACTACGTGGATTTTGTTCGCTGTTTTTCTTGTCTTAATCGTTTAGGTAAGTCTTGATTTTTAGATGTAGAATTAATTTGATGAGGCGGAGTATGTGGTCTATCATGCCTGGCACTATTAACTTTGTTTATACCGCTAGCCATTTCTGTAACTCCTCTACTAGACCCGACACTTTCTGTCCCAATTGGCGTCTCCAAGAATTGCGAACTTGATGATGATGACGTATTATAATGTACTGTAGATCCTTTGACTCTATTATTGCTTATGAGTGGATCGTCATCCTCTACATCCCCGCTGAAGGATTTGGCCTGCTCACGCAACAAATAGTAGAAAATTTTTAAGAAATTTGCTTTTAATCATAGGACTACCATACACACCTTCTTTGAAACAGAAGAGTCGATCGATTCTTATATAAGAAGTAATTATTAAAAACGATCAGATAAAACTCAAAGTGGTATATTTTATATTAAAGAATTTTATACTAACCTTTTTGGTAATGATAGATTTTTTTTTCGCTTTTGTCCAGTAGACACAACTTTTTCAAACCGGTTTGTGATCGTTCTCTGCAGTAAAGATCTTTCTCTTGTCGCATCCAGGAAATATTGGGTCTAAAACAAACCTTCAGTATGCCAACATAAATATTGGTAATAATGAGTCAAATCAATATACAAACCTGTTAGAGGTCAATCTGAGTTTCCAGTTTATTCTTCTCCTCTTCGAGCAACATCTTCTCTGTACAAACGTTTTTCATCTTATCTTGAAGGTCCTAAAATTGATTTATTTCCTTTGATTTTTTATCATTCTTATACACAGAAAAATTAGTTCTGTCTTGCATAAAAAAAAAAACATAACCAGCCTGAATCAACGACAAGTGCGCAACCTTTCCCTTACAAGTACGCAACCCGCAAAGTAGTCGCTGAGGCATTGCATTGTACACTAACACCCGTGCTCACCAACAAGTACGCAACCTTTCCCAATACCAGTACGCAACCAGTAAGGTAGTTGGTGACGGTACAAATGCAAGCATTGCGCTACACACTGACACATTTATGGTATGCTCACCAACAAGTACGCAACCTTTCCCAATACCAGTACGCAACCAGCAAGGTAGTTAGTGACGGTGCAGAACAACTCAGGCTGGTAACCCCCCAGAATAAGCTGAATAAATCTTACCCTAAAATCTTGTTTCCACGTTAGCAACTTCTGCCCAATTTCAGAACTTTCGGTATAATGTTTACGGATAGTATTTAGTTCACATTTGTATTGAAGGTGCTCTGTTTCTTTGTCTTCCAACTTGCCCTCCTTTGAACGGAACTCTAAGAAGCTTTTAAGTGAAGGTTTTTCCGTGATTTCCCAAAAGGATATATATATTTTACAAACACGTTAAACATTTACATTGATGACGTGATCATAGTAAAATATTTGAGAGGACATTTGTGTAACATACAGTAGTAATAAAAAAAATACCCTGGCGTTTAGATTTCAGATTGCTGCTAAATTGGATCATGTGAGAGTGACGCATACACTTTTACCAAGAATGCAAATTTCCGAAGTAGGCGAAACTTTATTGAATCAAAATGATAGGTAGCGAGAGAAATATAGGATGCTATCAAAGAGGAAGTACATCACCTTTTTATATAATTTGCAGAATTGATTTTGGAATACGCATCATGTATAAAGATCAACAAGGGGACATCAGTTTAATCCGCGCAAATCGTTAATTCAATGATGAGCAAAAAGACATGACGAACATAACACCTCTTTTTTCTAGATGCATTGCAATTATATAAAATCACAGTCAAACTAAATGCATTGCGGATAACTATCATATTTTTTTATCTATCAATAAACGTAGTTGATCATCAGTCCACAAGCTTCACTAGTTGCGGTGTAATTGAGATACTCTTATTTCTTTGCCTCTTGAAAAAAATATGTACATCAGCATATGTTATCAATATATGTTATCTGACTAAAAATAGTCATACTGTACAGCACTCTTTCCGCTGATCCTCTGATCACACACAAAAAACAGCACTCTTTCCGCTGATCCTCTGATCACACACAAAAAACAGCACTCTTTCCGCTGATCCTCTGATCACACACAA